TTTCGTTTTGCGTCTTCTTCCTCTTTGTTTATTGATTGTTCCGTCGCCTGTGTCGACTTTTTCTTTCTTGATTGTTTGTTTGTGTGTTGTTTGTTTGGTTGGTTGAGGTGGCGCCTGTGTGGTTGGATTTTTTGATCTCCTCTTTCTCTCCTTCTCTTTTCTTTTCTTTCTTTTTTTGTCTTTCTTTCTTTCTTTCTTTCTTTCTTTCTTTTCTTTCTTTCTTTCTTCTTTCTTTCTTCTTCTTTCTTTTCTCTCTCTCTCTTTCTTTCTCTTTCTTCTTTTCTCTTTTCTCCTCTTTTCTTTCTTTCTTCTTTCCCTCCTTCTTCTCTCTTCTCTTTCCTCTCTCTTCTCTCTCTCTCTCTCTCTCTTCTCTCTCTCTGCTTCTCTCTCCTCTCTCTCTCTCATCCTTATCTCTCGTCATCTCTCTCTCTCATCTTCTCTCTCTCTCTCTCATTCTCGTAATATTGCGCATGCGCACCACTCCCTCTGCCATTCTCCCCGTATCATCCTTCTGTTTTATTATCTTCCATGTCTATCCTTCCTCCTCCCCTCCCTCCCTCCCTCTTCAACCCTCCCTCCCCCTTCAACCTCCCCTCTATCCTCCCCCTCCGTATCCTATCGTTTCCAACCACACCCCTATCCCTATCCCCTCTCCCTCCCCCTCCCCCTCACCCTTCACCCTTTCACCATCCTCCCTCCCTCCTCCCCCTCCCCACCCGCGAGAGTGAAGTGTGTTGCGGTGGCTCTCGTTTTTATTATCACCCTCGTGTGTGTGTGTGTGTGTGTTCCGCGGGCGGGCGTGACCGGATGTGTAAACAGGGGTGGGCGTGAGGGCGGGGTCTCTTATCGGTGGCGTTCGTTTTTCTCTTGTTTTCTCTCTCCTCTCTCTCTCGTACGGGTTGTTTGGCGGTTGGCTTTTGTTTGTTTGTTTGTTTGTGGTGGTTCGTGTCTTGTGTTGGTGTTTAAGGACGCGTGGTCGTGGTTTTTTTTTTTTTTATTTATTTTATTTATTTTTTATTTATTTTTATTTATTTTATTTATTTATTTTTTATTTTTTTTTTTTTTTTTTTTTATTTTTTTTTTTTTTTTTTTTTTTTTTTTTTTTTGGTTTAGGTTTTTGTTTAGTTGGTGATTCATTCGTGGAGGTTTCGATGCTATTTTTTTATTGGTTCATTTCAACTCTTGTTTTGTTTATTGTCTCTCTGCTTTGTTTAATTGATCACACCACTTGGTATCACCTTGTCCCCTTCAACCAGATGATAACAACTTGATTATACCGCTAATAACAGCGCTTGCCACCCCTGACCCTGTGCCCCCTTCTCTCCCCACTGAAGATAACCATTTTTTCCTTTTTTCCCTCCTCCACTCATCCAACAGATCCCTCCCCCCTCCCTTACCCCACCCCGCCCCAGATCAGAACACTTCCCCATCCCCCAAACATTTTCCCCCCAGAACAGATCCCCAACCCTCCCCCCACCTCTTCCCAACTGAGTTAACCATTTCCCCACCTCCCCCACGCCCCTTCCTCTCCTCCTTTTCCCCCTCCTCCCCAACAGAGATAACCATTTTCCCCTTCTCCTCCCCAACAGAGGAACAGGAGATAACCATTTCCCCCCCTTCTCCTTCCCCAACAGCACAGCTCCCCGGCGAGAAGTACCGCCCCCGCTCCCGCACCCCCGACGACCACGACGCCAAGCGGAGGAAGGAGGACAAGGGGCACGACTCCGACGGCGAGAAGAGCGATCAGGACCATGGTCGTCCGATGTCGCCAACGAGGTGAGTGAGTGGGGGAGAGAGAGAGAGAGAGTGAGTGAAGAGAGAGGGGAGGGAGGGAGGGAAGGGGAGTGAGAGAGAGGGGGGGGAGAGTGGAAAAGGGAGATGAAGGTGAGAGAAAGGAAGCGATGTGTGTGTAGTGTGTGAGAGAGAGATAGAAGGGGGGGGACGAAGCTTAGAAGGAAGTGAGATATTGAAGAAAAAAAAAGAGAAAACGAAAAAGAGAGAGAGAGAGGGAGGAGGAGGAAATTTAACGAAGAGGTCGAAAGAGAGATCAAGAAAAGTGATTTGAGAGAGAGGGATGAGTCTGGAGAAAAGGGCAAAGATCGGAGATGAAGGATTTTAAAAGAAACCGCAAGTGACATAAGAGGAAGAGAGAGTGAATGTGATTGGCACGGGAGTAGCAAAGGTAAACTCTTTTGGGTATTTACGATGTGTATTTACGACTCTCCCTCCCCCCCTCCCCTCCCCCTCCCACCACACCTCCCTGCCCCCTCTTTATTACCCATTTCGACCCTGTGTTTGATCAGTTTTTTTCGGTGATGGATTTGGTTGATAGCGTTGTTGATGGGTTTGTAGAGGGTCGTAACACCGTATACGTATTGGTTCGTGTGTGTGTGTCGTCGGCGAATGAAAGAGAAAGAAAGGTAGAGGGAGAAAGAGAGGAGAAAGAAGAGAAGAGAGAGGAGAGTGAGAGAGGAGAGAAAGAAGAGAGAGACGAGTGAAGCGGAAAGTCTTTCGTTGTACTGTTGTAGTGACATATTGAAATTAACATCCCGTTGTATCATGGAGATTAGCGTGGTTGGGGGGGGGGGTCGGGCACTCACCCGGTCCCCTCCCTCCCTCCCACCCCCGAGCACTCACCCCTCCCCCCGCGTCAGCAAGCACTGGGTAGAGGTGACGTGTAGACAGACGGTGGCGAGTGCATGCTTGTAAGGGCAGGCGACTCGTGCACGCAGCCCCTCGCGACGCCTCGGCGAGTGCGGTCGGGTACGAGCCTGGTAGTAGTATTGACCCGTCTCCCCCTTTCCCCCCTTCTTCCTCTCTTAGGACCCAACAACTCCTCCACAGGCCAACGGCGACCACCGCGACGTGCGCGAGAACGGCGAGAAGAAGCCCGAGCGGCCGCCCTCGCAGTCCTCGTCGTCGCGATCCACGCCGCAGCTCAAAGCACGAGAAGGTAAGTCGACCCGCTGGCTGGCCTCGCGCCCTCCCTTCCCCCGCCTCATCGCCCCTCCGCTTCCTCCCTCCCTCCCTCTCCCTCCCTCCCTCGCCTGCCCTCCCTCCCTCCCTCCCTCCCTCCCTCCCTCTCCTCCCTCATCTCCTCCTCCCTCCCCCCCTTCTCTAATATTCTTTTTCCTCTTCATTCCAACCCTTTCAAGTTTAGTTCATTTCTTCCCCTTGCGTTTATTTATTTTTCTTTCCTTTATTTCTTCCTCCCCTTGCTATCCTCCTCTCTAACTCCTGCCCCTATTCTCCTCCTTCCCCTACCTCCCCACCTCCCCCTACCTCCTTTTCCCACCCACCCCCCCCCATTATTTGAAACATCGCTTATGGCTGATATTGCTTTTATTGATTCATTATTTTGTTTATTTTTATTTTATTCTTGTTCTCCGTCATTGTTTTCCTTGTCCCCGCGCACGTGTGTAGAACGTTTGCTTGGCCGCCAACGTTTCCAGGGGGCGTCAACGTTTCGCTTTCTCGCACATGCAGCGACTCTGGCTTGTCCTCCGTTTCCTGTTTGTTTTCGTCCTTTTCCTCTGATTTTCGCTTCGGGCCGACTCTTTTTCTCTTCTTGCTCTCTCTCTCTCTCTCTTCGTCTTCCAGTTCTTCAGTCTCATCTTCCTCTTGTCTTTATTCTCTTCTAAGTCTTATCAATCCTCCTCCCTCTCCTCTTCTTCCTCCTGCTCCACTACCTCTTTCTTATCTGTCACCACAACCATCGCCTCCTTCGCCTCCTCCACCACTCTTCCACCACCTCCACCTCCACCACCTCCACCACCTCCACCACCTCCGCCTCTTCAAACCCACCTCCTCCTCCACCTCCACCTCCTTCAACTCCTCCTCCACCACCGCCGCCACCTCGTCTTCCTCGTCCTTCTCAACACCACAGAAATGGGCTGCCACGCAATCATGATGGCCAGTGTCTTCTCTCGTTCTGGCGTTTACAAGATACCTTCCCCCCCTCTTTTCCCTCACTTCCCCCCTCTCTCTCTCTCTCTCCCCCATTTCCCTCACTCTCTCTCTCTCTCTTTTCCCTCTCACTTCCCCCCTCACTTCCCCAGGCTACGCGCCCTTGGGCTTCCGCGCATTTGTCAGGCTCTTTTAGTTCCCATACATCAACTTCCTGGCTTGGAGGAATCACTCTCTACTCCTCTTTTCCCCCTTTTCCTCCCCTTTGCCTGCCTCTCAGTCCCCCATTCGCTTCTCTTTCTTCTTCTTTCCTCTCCTCTCCCCGTCCCTCTCTCCTTTCCGTTTATCCTCTCGCCCCCTCTTTTCCCCCACTTCCTCCTTTCCTCCTCCCTCCTCCCCCTCCCCCTCCTCTTCTTTCCCTTCCCCCCCTCCCCTCTCCTCCCTCCCTTCCCTTCCCCTCTCCTCCCCTCCCCCCTGCCTCTCTCCCCTCCTTCCCCCCCTCTCTCCTCCCCTCCCCTCCTCCCTCCCCCCTCTCCTCCCTCCCCTCCTCCCCCTCCCTCCCCCCTCCTCCCTCCCCGGCCCATTAGACTGTCTTGTGTAAATTGTTAGTGTTGTGTTGTGTTATTACCCCCCGGCTTAAGACCTCTGTTTCGAGTCTGTGTTCGGTGGCTGTATCGCATGCGGCCCTCACCTCCCCCCCCCCCCCACCCCGCCCCCCTCGCCCCCGCCCCCTTCTGACGCGGCCCCCTGACAAATGGGGCTGAGACATGGGACCTGCTTTGTGAGTCCTTTCCTTCCCCCCCCTCCTTCCCCTCCCGCCCTCCCCCCAGTCCCCAATCTCTATTCGCTGTTTTAACTTTTCCCATTTCTTTTTTCTTTCTTTCTCCCTTCTCCCTTCTCTTTCCCGTTTCTCACTCATTTTTTTATTTTTTTTTTTTCTTCATTTCTTCTCTCCGTATCCTCTGCTCCTTTCTCTTCCTTTCCTCTCCTGCTTTTATTTATTTATTTTTTTCGAAGAGCTACGTTTTCATCACCCCAACCCACTACCCCTATTCTCTCTTCCTTCTCCTCTCCCCTTTTCCTTCCTTCTTTCGTTTTCGTCTTCCTCTTGCTCACCCTTGTTTCCTCTTTCTTCTTCTCTCCTTTTCTTCTTTTCCTTTTCCTCTTCCTCTCCTTTTTTCTTCTTCCTTTCCTTTTCCTCTCCTTCTTTTCTTCTTTCTCTTTTTCCTTTCCTTCTTCTCCTCCTCCTTTCTCTTCCTGTCTTCCTTTCCTCCTTTCCTGACGGCTGGTGAGGAAAGGACCTTTTTACTTTGGCTTTTATGTGATTTCCCAACAATCCCTGGAACTTCATTTGTTTTTCTTGTTTAGATCAAGAGGGGGGGGGATCACAAATAATTCTCTCTCTGTCTATCTATCTCTATCTCTTCATCTCTCTATTCTTCTCTCTCTCTTCTTCTTTCTCTCTCTCTCTCTCTCTCATTCTCTCTTCTCTTCTCTCTCTTTCTCTCTCTCTCTCATCTCCTTCTCTCTTTCTCTCACTCTCTCTCTCATTCTCTCCTCACGTCTCTCTCTCTCTCTCTCTCTCTCGTCTCTCTCTCTCTCTCTCTCTCTCTCTCTCTCTCTCTCTCTCTCTCTCTCTCTCTCTCTCTCTCTCTCTCTCTCTCTCTCTCTCTCTCTCTCTCTCTCTCTCTCTCTCTCTCTCTCTCTCTCTCTCTCTCTCTCTCTCTCTCTCTCTCTCTCTCCTCACTCATTCTCCTTTTATTTTCTTTTTCTCTTTTTTCTTACTTTCTCCACTTCCTTGTTTCTCTCTCTCTCTCTCTCTCGCTCGCTTTTTCACTTTTTCCTTCCCTGAAGGCTCTGGCCCCCTTGCCTTTGAAACTTGGGGACCTGAGCGGAAAGCGACCTTCTGGGCTTTCCGAAAGTTAAAAGAAAGAACAAGTCAAGCTCCCCCCCCCCTTTGCCCCCCTCCCCCCCTCCCCCCCCAAAAAAAAAGAAAAAAGAAAGAAAAGAAAGAAAAAAACGAGGGCGCTCTGCCTATATTCCTGTGCACGCATGCTTATTTTCTTTTTTTTTTGTTTGTTTTGGTTTCGTTTTATTCCCCCATGAGTGTCATTTTCTGTTATTGTCATTTTTTTCTTTTTTCTTTTATCCTTTACCCTTTTTTTTTTTTAACTTATATCTATGGATTTGTGTACGTAGTGTCATGGTTGTTTTTGGAGTGTTTGATTGATCACTATATATTATTATTTTATTTATTTTTTTAATCTTTTTTTGGTATGAGTAATTGTCTAATCACATTTTTTGCCATTCACACTTAAACTACATTCGCAGGGGTTGTAGATTGGGGAGGGGGGGGGGGAGGGGGAGGGGGAGGGAGCTGTTAATTCTTTTAATTATTGTCTAGATTTTAGATTGGATTTTTTTGGATTTGATGGATAATGGGGGAAAATGGGATATAATGTGGTAGACTAATAATGGAAGTAATGTTTTGTTTTTTTTAAAGAGTGTAAGATGGATATTGTAAATGCATTGTCATGTGTGTAAGAACAGGAAGGGGTAATTGAGTTGTCTATTTTTTTTAAGTAGACATTGCTTGATTTGGAGAGCTTTGGCGGTTAAATAGACTAATTGGGTATTTGTTGATATGCATTTGAAGGGGGGGGGGGTTCTGGTTAGATTTTTGTTCAGGAAGGAGGGGGGGGAGGGGATTAACGATTCATGTTTTGGAATCCATTTGATCCGGTAGAGAGAAAAAGTAGTGATTAAGTGTGATTTCTGTGTCCTAATTCCACGGAGGCCGCCGCGCCGTGTCCGTTCCGACGTAGTGCGTGTCGCTGCGGGCGCGGCGCGCGGCCCCCCCGCCCCGAGGGCCGCGCGCCGGGCCCCCTGTGTGTCTTGATGCCTGTCTTGATGTGGACCCGCCCCTCATTTTGTTTTGTTTGTTTTTTTTTGTGTTTTGCAGAGTGACCCTCGTTCCACCCCCACGTCCAAGTCTGGTGGGGGGAGCGGCGCCCCCTCCGGGCCCCCTGGCTCCTCCGGCGTGAAGCCCCCCGGCGCACCCCCTGGTGGTGCCGGTCCGTCCCCCCACTACCCCCCCTCCCCTACCTGCCCCCGGCGCCGCTGGGCCCCGACCTGACCTGCCCCCCGGCCCGCCCCGCCCTGACCTCCCGCCTCCGCCGCCTACCCCCAGGGCACCCTAACAACTACCTCCGCCCACGGTAAGTCTGCGCCCTCACCCACGCCCGCACCTGGTGCTGCCTTTTTTTTGTTTTGTTTGTTTGTTTTTCCCTTCTTGCCACCCGCGGCGCAGCTGGCGAAGCGCGGGCCGCCCCCGGGCCGCCCACTCGCCAGCTCGCCGCCGCCGCCGCCTGCCTTGCTGTATATACTGTCAATAGCCGCACCGCTTCTCCCGCACCCACGCCTCTGTGTTCTCGCACCGGCCTCGCTTCCTAACACTGGCCCTGTGTCATATATCTCTCGTGTGTATCTTCTCCCCCCCCCCCGGGCAGGCCCTAACGCCGTCCTCTCCGTCCGCAGGGCTCCGGCTATGACCCCCACGGTGTGCGGCCGCCTCCGCTCGCTTCCAACGGCATTCCAACCAACGGCTCCGCTGGGAAACCGTAAGTCCCCTCGCTGCTTCGGCCTCGCGCTCTCGTTGGCCTTTCCTCGGCCGCTCCTTGCTGATATAGTGCTGGCTCCGCTGCTCGGAAGCGGCGTCCGTGCGAGCGTGTACTAACCCGTCCCTTCCCGTCCTTTGCAGGGCCTATAGCTTTCACGTGAGCGGCGAGGGCCAGCTGGCCCCCGTCCCGTTCCCCTCGGACGCGCTGCTGGCCCCGGGCATTCCTCGGCACGCGCGGCAGATCAACACGCTGCACCACGGCGAGGTGGTGTGCGCCGTCACCATCAGCAACCCCACCAAGTACGTGTACACGGGCGGCAAAGGCTGCGTCAAGGTGTGGGACATCAGCCAGCCCGGGTCCAAGACGCCCGTGTCGCAGCTGGACTGCCTGCAGCGGGATAACTACATCAGGTCCGTCAAGCTCCTGCCTGACATGCGCACCCTCATCGTGGGCGGCGAGGCGTCCACCCTCAGCATCTGGGACCTGGCCACGCCCACGCCCCGGATCAAGGCAGAGTTGATATCCTCCGCCCCCGCGTGCTACGCCCTGGCCATCAGCCCCGACTCGAAGGTGTGCTTCAGCTGCTGCAGCGACGGCAACATCGCGGTGTGGGACCTGCACAACCAGACGCTGGTGCGGCAGTTCCAGGGCCACACGGACGGCGCCTCCTGCATCGACATCTCGCCCGACGGCACCAAGCTGTGGACGGGCGGCCTGGACAACACCGTGCGGTCGTGGGACCTGCGCGAGGGGCGCCAGCTGCAGCAGCACGACTTCACCAGCCAGATCTTCTCGCTGGGCTTCTGCCCGACCGGCGACTGGCTGGCCGTGGGCATGGAGAGCTCCAACGTGGAGGTGCTGCACGTGAACAAGCCCGACAAGTACCAGCTGCACCTGCACGAGTCCTGCGTGCTCTCCCTCAAGTTCGCCTCGGCCGGCAAGTGGTTCGTGTCCACGGGCAAGGACAACCTGCTCAACGCGTGGCGCACGCCCTACGGCGCGTCCATCTTCCAGGTGAGTTGGATCTGTGTGTTTGTGGTGCATGCGTCAATGTGAATGCAGGTTTGATGTCTCAGACGATTCCTCCGCGCCCTAACGAGCCTCTCTCTCTCCCGCCCGCAGTCGAAGGAGTCCTCGTCGGTGCTGAGCTGCGACATCTCCGCGGACGACAAGTACATCGTGACGGGCTCGGGCGACAAGAAGGCCACCGTCTACGAGGTCATCTACTAAAGTGGCCGAGCCGCCGCGACCTAGTGCCTGGGCCCCGCAGGAGGGGCGTCTCCTTAGGGATATTCAGGGCACCCTGAGAGGGCGGCAGAGGAGCAGATTTGGGCGTGTGGACGTGGTATCCATAGGCGATGCGAAGGCGCCAGAGTGGCAGTGTACAGCGACCGGGCTTGCCCCAAGTGATAGCGTTCATCTTTTATAATGAAGCAATTTATGTGATTCGAGGGCGGGTCCGAGTAGATTAGAGGAACTTACTGGATCGGATCGGTGGTGTTCTCCGCGGCGGAAGCAGAGCCGCCGGCGCCCTTCGGGGCCGACCCCGCCGCCGCCCTGTGTGTCTCGAGGAGCAGCGAGTCCTGCAACAAAAGTGGATGTGGAGGCGTCACTCGCGAGGCGGGAGTGGAGTCGGAACACTTACCTTAGGTACATTTAGCTTCTGTGGATAATTCAGTAGGTTCATTCCTTTAACCTATTTTAGTTGTCCTTATTGGTTCCAGAGCCATTTTAGGTTCTATGATTTCTGTCTCGATTATTAGGAGACCTCATGTAAAGTATTAAAGCTATTCCCAAGGTCTTGCTCACACGAGAGGCAACAAAGGCTCTGAAGTCCCATTCGGAAATTGCCCAGAAAGTAGGCATCGAAGTCGGTCTTCGCGGGCCGCGCCCAGGGGGAGGGGGGGGGGGAGGGCTTAAGGGGAAGGCCGCCTTGGCCGAGGGCGGAGGAGGCGCGCCCGCAGGAGAGCTCCCCCTGCGGCGCCTGCCCGGGAAGACCGACCTTGAGGGTCTACGTTGAAGGTCCTTGGCTCAACGCCTTCGTCAGGATTCTTGTCTTTTTGAGTTCTTCGAGTGCCAGTGATCGACTTCAAGTGGAAGAACCGAAAAGCCTCCTTTGCAACTTCTGTTTTGTCTTGTTCTCTTGAAGGCGTTGGTGAGTGTGACTGGGTTACCTGACGGTCCGGAAGAAGGGTCGTCTCGACTTAAACTAAGACGTGTAGACGTGTCAACAACCGCCTCTTTAAAGACGTTCGTGCTGGAGACCTTCAGAAAATTCAAGCAGCCAAAAAGATAACTAAAAAAAAAAATAAAGAAAAATAAAAAGGAAATTTCTCCGATGGTGGTTCTCCATTAACCGTTGCGCCAGTAAGCCCTGGTATTTCTTGTTTCCTCCTTGTTTTGTGGTTATCCCCCTTCCTCCAGCCCCCCCCTCAATCTCCCCCTCTCCCCTTCATTCCTTCTTCCTTCAACACAGCACCCCCCCCCCCCGAAGGCCCGCCCGCCGCCCACCCCGGGGAGGAAATGATTACACTCGTGCCATTCAGGAACCGTAGATTTAACAGGCGGACGGCGGCGCCGACGGGGAAGAGGAGACTCCGCGTGCCGTAAGAGTGCGAGTGGATGGGGCGATCTGATTAGGCGGGATAGTCAGTCATTTTTTTATCGGTCATTGAAAGATTAAGAGACGGTGGGGGGGGGGGGGGGACAGTATCTTCTTTCCTACGTGTTGGTGCTCTCGTCTCGTCCCCACTCGATCGCGTGCGGGCGTGGACCGCCGTTGCGCGACTTTCGGCCCTCTCCCCTTCCCGTTCTCCCTCCCCCCTCTCCCCCTTTCTCGTCCTTCCTCCTTCCTCCTCTCTTTCTCTCCTCTCATTCTCAGCCTTCTGCTTCCTAGATAGTAGGGGGGAAAGAGGAAGGGGAAGGGATAGAGGAAAAGGTATGGGAAGGGGAAGGGGAAGGAAGGAGTGTGTAGGAGTACCCCCCCATCTCCCCCCCTTACCCCTTAACCTGCCTTGGTGCTAGCTAGTTTCGCGTGGATGTGACGGCGAGGTGGCGACGCGTGCTGTATTCCTGGGGAGGCGATCACCAAAGTACAAAGAAAGCGTGATTAAGAATGGAAAAAAGAAGAAGGAAAATAATGATGATAAAGCTTATTTTTTTTCCGTGTGACACTTCAAAGGAGATTTGTGTAGGTCGGTTGAGGAAGAGGAGAGAGGAACGAGTAGAATTGCCGTTGGACTCGGTTTTTCATTCGTGGGTTTTTTTGTTTTCTTCTTTTTTCGCGCCAGTTTTTCTCTGATTTTTAAAAAAAATAAGAAGAGGGAAGTTCATGTTATTTTGGAAGAGTTCAAGAATATTGCCGGTATATCCGAGTCTTGAGTGAATACTTCTTTCACGCATTCCGAATTGCCCCGTGTTGCAGAGCGGGAGAAATGTCGACTCAGGCGAAGAATAAAGAAGAAATGACGATAAAGAGATGAGAAAGGGGAAGAATTAAGCGCAGGAACCGATCTCGCATATAACGCAGAATGTGCCTGAATAGTCTCGACCGCCCCCGCCTTCGTCGCCGGACTGTGGGGAAGCCGTCGGGGCTGGCTCTGGTGGCCCCCGCCCTCGCTCCTCTCTCGCGACCGCTCTTAATATTTTTACCTTAATTATTATTTTTTTTTTCTTCGCCTCCCCCCCCCTCCTCCCTCCCCTCCTCCCCTCCTCTTTTATGCCCTCTCTCGACCCCCTCGTCGCGTCCTGCGGTGCGGGGCGGCGGGCGGGTAGGGGGGGGGGGGGGGGGGGGCCGACAGATGGCGCCACGTTTTTGACGACCGGGGAATAACTTTTCAATACGGGAAATAATTAAAGATCCACCCCCCCACCCCACCTTTCCCTTCTCGATGAAGTTTCGGATGCGGGACGGGACGTGTCAAATGGGGTTAGTTACCTGCCGAGGAAAGGGACCCGGTCGTTGCGCATCTCTGTCTCTCTGATCTCTCCTCTCTCATCTCTCTCTTCTCTCTCTCTCATCATCTCTCTCTCTCTCTCTCTTCTCTCTCTCTCTCTCTCTCTCTATCTCGTCTTCTCTCTCTCTCTCCTCTCTCTCTCTCTCTCCTTCTCTCTCTCTCCCTCACTCTCTCTTCTCTCTCCTCTCTCCTCCTCTCTCTCTCTCTCTCTCTCTCTCTCTCTCTCTCTCTCTCTCTCTCTCTCTCTCTCTCTCTCTCTCTCTCTCTCTCTCTCTCTCTCTCTCTCGATCTCTCTCTATCTCGGAGCTTTGAGGTCGAGGCGTTTGAGGAATTTAAATACGCGACCGCCACGCTAGGAGGGAGGAGGAGGGGGGGGGGTAGGAGGGGGTGGTGTTGCCCCGCCCGACGTCGACTTCGAGGAGTGACTCGTTCGTATCCTCCCTTCGTTCGAGTCGTAATGATGGTCCTCTCTGTTCCCTTCTCCTTTTCCCCTCATCCTCCCCTTCTCCCTTTCCCCTCATCCTCCCCTCACCCCCTTCAATGGTCATCGTAGGAGCAGGCTCCACAAAACCACACGTGACCCTCGACCAGTTTGTTGGCTTCCTTTCTTTTTTTTTCTCTCTCTCTCGTTTTTTTCCCCTTTTTTATATATACGAAAAGGCGAGGATGCCATGGGCCGACGTGCGCTTTTTTTTATCATGTCAGTGGCCAGTCATGCGTTCGTGCTTGTATGCGTGTATGTATGTGTGCATGCGTGTTTATTCGCGGTCGAGAACGCACGACAAACGACCAGAAGAAGAAGAAGAAGAAGAAAAAAAAAACGACGACTAAAACTTTATTTTTTTTCCTCCCCAAAGTTCGCGATTTCCACTTGTGTGCGTGTTTTTTTCTTTCGCATCTCTGGCCACTTGGTTTTGCGAGGAATCTGTATCATATGTTGAACTACAAAACGGGTATTTAAATAAAGAGTAGTTGTATCTCCAGTGGAAGTTTTCATGTAGACACGTGCACATTTTCTGCGGCTCTGAGAGTTGAGAATGGCCCGCCAAACACTACCTCAAAAAGGTTTAGCGCAGAAATTTGAGCCTAGTGGAGGTACAGTTTAATGGTCATTTTGGCTTGTCAGACCAATCTTTTGAAGCATATATGACTGTAGATAAGAAAATAAATGACTAGATGATAATGATTAAAAAGGAATACAATTCAAGGGATAACTTCAGGCTGTAGGCAGCTTCAGGTACCACATTTCATGAATCATAAAAGTCTGTGCTATTTACCCATGACCACTGTTTTTAAAGTGTATTTTCTCCACATATTGTAATTTTTATTTTGAATGACTGATTATGTGAATTCTTTTAGGCTGATGAAGGAGGAGGAGGAGGAGGAGGAGAAGAGGAAAAAAAAAAAGAAAAAAAACATTTTTGATCTCTGCATTTTTTATAATGATGTACCTTTTGTATTAGTGAGCCGGAAGAAACAAAGAAAGATAGACAAAACAAGAAAATAAATAAATAAATAAATAAAAACTTTACCCCCCCAAAAAAATATATATACATAAAAATACAAATTACTTTTTAGTAGCGGTTTCGCGTCTATTTTTTTGTCTCTCTCGTCTCTCAAAAGAAAAGTCTCTCACAGTGTAATGCATCATGTGTTTAGGATATGTCTGCTGTGTGTTCAATGGCAGAGGCCTCGGTCTTGGGGGAAAAAAGTCCCTGCGTTGCCTAGGGGAAAAAAGTCCCTGCGTTGCCTCTTTTTTCCCCTCCAGGGAGACTGAAGCAGAGGCCAGACTGGACGCTTTGACAGGTCCAGTCCAGGGAAGGGGGTGAGGGGTATGGGGGGGGGGAAGGGGAGGGGAGGGAGGGTTTATGGTCTAGACTTTTTTTTTTCTCTTGTCTTCTTTTCTTTATTTTTTCTTTTTTCTTTATCATTTTTTTTTAAGGAGGGACGAAAAAAAAGTGGACTCGTCCTCCCGTGACAGCCGAGGGTCATTTCGACGGCAGTGAAGCTTTTGGTGTTATTAATGTAATTATGGACTTGTATGAGTATCTTATTTGGCGAGGATACGTATGTATTTTGAATCCATATTATTTTTGTGACACTTTTTTTTTTTGTTTGTTTGTTTCTTACCATGGTCATGTAAAAGACTTGTACCTCTGTAGTTACCATACGTGTTTGTAATGGCCAGATGTATCGCTCGCTCATGGCCAGCGCGATGCAGATGGCCAGATTGTATCAGGAGAATGTATTTTATCTATATATTTTTTGGAGAATTGTATGTTCTGTGGATGGCGGATTTCATTTTTTGTTTCGTGAAGGCATGTATAAAGTTATTTTTTCGGATTTCGTTTTGATGTCATCGTCTATATTAGACGGGAGTATGCATTTAATTAAGGGCGGAGCATGTGTTCGGCCAAGGGGGTGTGTGTTGGCACTGTGATGCCACCCGTTTGAGTTCTTTTTTTTATTTAGAAAATTGTGTCTTGTTTGTGTTTTTTTTTCGTCTAAAAGCTTTGTTGCCGTAATGACCTGTATTAATTACACAGACACACACACAGACGCACATGCACATGCGGGGGAGAACCTTGCATGTAGAAACACATACATGCGCGTTACTACACACGACAGACAGACACACATACACATTCGTACAAGAGTCTAGCTGAAGTGTACAATTAGTGTGAATGTATAAACACCTGCGTATCTCTCTCTCCACATTGAATAGTGCAACATCACTATGTGTAAGAGATTTGCAATAAAATAGAAAGACATAAAAGGTTATTGTTTTATTCCTCTTCATGTAGTAATGGACATGTGAAATATATATATACAGATGTGAAGGTTGCAGCGGAAAAATGCCAGACAATGCCGTTAGGAATGAAAAAGATTTGCTGCAAATTTGAAAAGTGAATTCCAGAGCATGAGATATAAATGTGACAAAGGAACTAGGGCGTTTATATATATATATATATATATATATATATATATTATATATATAATATATATATATATATATATATATATGTATATATATATATATATAATATATAATATATATATATATATATATATATTATATATATATATTATATATATTATTATTATATATTATATATATATAATATATATATATATATATATATATATATATATATATTATATATTATATATATATTATATATATTATATATATATATATATATATATATATATATAATATATATATATATATATTATATATATATATATATATATATATATATATATATATATATATATATATATATATATATATAATATATACATATATACATATATACATATATATATATATATATATATATATATATATATTATATATATATATATAATATATAATATATATATAATATATATATATATATAATATATATAATAATATATATAGTATATATATATATAAATACATATTAATATATATATATATATATATATATATATATATATGATATATTAAGTTATATACATAATATAATATATATAAATATATATATATAATAATTATACTAAATTCGCCATACGATTCCGGTTTTCCAAGCAGCGTCCGTGTTCCCTGCACTTTGAAATATTCCCCGTATAAATTTTCTCTTTGGGTTTCTGGAACGCTGCAAATGTATTTTCTAGACTGCAGCAGAAATGTGCGGTCAAGATATTAAATCCTATTCTCTGTTTTCGATTTTTTATTGCATTAAAAAAAACAGGGTTTGATTTTTTTTGGAAGACAAAGAAAAATGTAAAAAAAAAAAAAAAAAAAAAAAAAAAAAAAAAAAAAATCGTTGATGTGAAAATGGTTCTGCCTGTGATGTTTTTTTTTTTTCTTTTGTCGTATTCTTTCTGTCTGTCTGTC